GGGGATTAGATGGGTCTGGGGTTCTGGTGGGGCTGTCGGGGGGCGGGGAGCAGTTGGATAGGGCATGGGAGTCCCGTCTGGGGGCAGGGGTGTGAATATGGGGTGGGAGTGTGGATAAGGGTCTGGGCAGTCAGGGGACAGATAGGGTTGTAGGGCATTCTCAGGAGGGGGCAGTCAGGGGACAAGGAGCGGGGGGGATGGAGGTTCTGAGGGGGGCAATCAGGGGGTGGGAAGTGGGAGGGAGTGGATGGGGGTGTGGCAGGGCTAGGGCTAGGGCAGGGCTCCTCCCCCCCCCAGTGTCCTCTTTTTTGCTTGTAGAAATATGGTAACCCTAGGAAAGTGAGGCAGGGAGCATCTACAGGACACCTGGCCAAATAGCAGTACTATAGGGCAGGTATACCCTGTCTGAAAAAGCTTATGCTCTATGGCCCCAGTCCTACAGTTGGATCTGCTACCATTAGCCTTTAGGCCCAGGCAAAGATCCACTAACTCTGATTGGGATTTACCACAGACAAACACAGAAGGTGATAAGACAGTGGAGGGGAGGAGACAGGATGGACATTAAATAAAGATGATGCAGGTCTAATGACATTTGTAAATAAGTACGTTCTGATATGTTTAAACAGTGTGTGCAACAGAGGAAGAATACATAACACAACAGTGGCAACTATGGAAAGCAAAACAAATGCAGTGCACTGAGGAGATAAGATTTGATCCTCTGAAGTCATACTGAATTAGGTATTGGACACTGTTGAAAGCAACCTTCTCCCTTCTATCACAAATCATTTTCATCCACCTCTATTGGTCTTACTCCTTGGGAATAGACCAAAGAAGGAGAAATGCCACACTCAGGTATGGGCTGCAGTAAAGGCAGGTGTCTCTCTTGCAAAAGTGAAGCTTGGGCCAACTCAAAGCAAGTCTCAAAATAATCCACTGATTCCCCATCTTGTCTTTGCATTAAGAGTTGGTAGTCTCCAAAGCGAATGATGCATTTCCATGGCAGGTCAATTTTGTTTAGGTAGTCCAGTTCCACATTGTCCACAATCAGTTTGGTTTTTTTGCTCATGTTCTTTATCTCAAAACCAAGTTCTGAGCTGTTGAGTTGCCTGAAAAACTGCAGGGTAAACTGAACCCGGGAAACACGGGTATCCATTAAATTATAATGGCAGATGTTAGAATCTCGGCCAAACTTTGCCACTTCATCTACCCTGCGCCGCTCTCGCTTGTGGAATTTTAAGCTGCGAAACACCTGCTTTTCTTCTTGGCAAGGATGGTACAAAGTTATATGGAGACAAGTTACTGTCTCTTCAGTTTCCACTTCTTCCATGGAACTCATGATGATGATCCTTCTCAGAACTACAAGAAAGAATGAAACATGAAATTATTGCAATGCCAAAAAAATCCACTTGGAACTGGCATCATTTAAAGAACTTTACATACTATTGATTAATTAAAATGTACTTATTTTATAGAGATCCCTGGGTAGTAAACATAGTCTAGCAGCTTGGGCACAGGATTGGGAGTGAAGAACTCCAGCTCGATCACAATAGTTCCATTCCCAGTTTTGCCATTGACTTATGTGGATCTGGACAGGTCAAAAGCCTCTCTGTGCTTTGGTTTCCCTTCTGTAAAATGAGGATAAGTACAGAGACAAGGTGAGTGAGGTAATATCTTTTATCGGACCAAGTTCTGTGTAAGAGCAAAAGTTTCTCTCTCTCACGAACAGAAGTTGGTCCAATAAAAGATATTACCTCACCCACCTTGTCTCTCTAACATCCTGGGACTGATATGACTACAACAACACAGCATACAACCACAAGTACAGGCTGTTATGAAACTGCCTTAATATTTTTACATGTTTTGAGATCTTTGCATGAAACTATGCAAATATATTAACTAGTTCTGCCCCTATTATAAGTGTCTTACTAAATGAGTTCACCTTTGAAGAAACATTTTGGTGATACATCATTGGAAGCCTAAACACTTGTTTTGTAGACCTCAAAGACCCACATTGGAACTATTATAGTATTTGTTAATGACTGAATATTATATATCACTATTTATTATATTCCTTTGACAATATGAAATGTGACAAGTACCCTTTACAAGTACAGTTTGCCTGGGATGTGGGAAACTCAGGATCAATTCCCCTTTTCCTGCCAGAAGGTGGGGAGAGGATTTGAACAGAGGTCTCAGATCTCTCTAATCACTATGCTGTGGGACATTCTGCTGTAGGGTTTCCTCGGTCTCCTGTTTTGAAGCAGTGGCACTCCAGCTAAATAATGAAAGTAAGTGGACAGGCCCCTTGGTCTTGCACTTCCCAGTTGGATTTCCCTAACCTCTGGACTATAGAGTCATTCTCCCTCTCTCTGGCCTAATGATTACTTCAGTATTTATCCATGGTAGAACAGTCAAGTAGGAGCTCAGAAGAACATTAGCTTTTTCAGAATTACCCACTGACACAAACTTTACCTTTTGAAATCTCATTAAGGAGTAGCTGCTATATGTAATACATTACAAATATCGAAAATGAATTTAAAGTGGGCATGAAAATCCCCCTGCTTTCTCCAACAAAAATGGGGTACAGGATTTGCCATACTGCATCAGACCTGTGGTTCATCTAGCCCAGTATCTCTAACAGTGGCCAACACTAGTTGCATTAGAGGAAGATGCAAGAAAAACTGCAGTTATGGAAGTCTGTCCAGAGGGAAAGTTTCTTCCTAAACCCTATTAATTAGCAGTTGGCTCATGCCTGGAATATGGGGTGGGGTATATCCCTTTCAAAACTCCTTGTTCTTGTTTTTAATATGTGCTACTGTAATTCTGGATGTTTTTGTCTACATAAATATATTTAACTCTTGGCCACGTATTTTGTGGCAAAAAAGTACCACAAGCTATGGTATTTCCTTCTACATCCAAATAAGTTCCTCACTTAACTGATACGTACATTTCACTATGAGGTGCATAATCAGTGTTCTTCATTGTATCGGAGTCATTACTAAAAGCAGTTTACAGTTCAGTCTATTGTATTTTATTGCTACGTGAAGCATCATTGCAATATGGACTCTGACATACGATTGCCTTTCCAAGCATAAGATTGCACAACTTTTATCTATAAACACACAAAGAATGGATTACTGGTACTAGGACACCTTTCTGTGATGCCAGTATTTAGAGATACCATATAAATATCTCAAGACCTCTGGAATTATTTTCCTTATTTAATTGATATTCAAAACAAGGTACAATGCTTTTTCTTACAAAGCAACAGCTCAGGCACAGAACATCTCCCGTTTCAGTGCTGGATAAATCTGCCCAGGGAAATCACATTAGTGAACTCTACTTAAGCATTACTTGCGAGAGTGGTGCTGGTATGGCTTTCCTGGCCATTGTAAGCAAAACCTAAATATTAAGAAACAAATTAATTTCAAGTAGATTCTGATTTCTAGGCTGTTTATAACTCCTGTAAATAATTCTGCTTTTCCCCAGCCCATCTTGAAAACAATATCGTTGATTTTGGGTAAAATTATAAAACTGATGGAAGCAAAAAGCCCCCAGCCTTTAGCAAGAGTTTTACATTCATAGGACTACAGCGTTAAACCCTTGGTGTCATTATCACATTTGGAATGTGCATACTTGTCTCACTTCCCCTTACATTCCGCACAAATCCATCAGCAAAAAATCCACACAACTTCCTTGGGGCACTGACTGTTAACATCACCAGGCATGGGAATGTGTGGATCTTTTGCTGAAGGGTTAGGCTGCCCATACACCCACCCCACAAAAGAAAATTTCTAAGACCAAATTTCTTTCTGATATTCAAACTTTTTCTATTGACAAATAAAACAAGCATCAAGAGGTGAAAATACTAATGATGCAACTGTTTTGAAATCAATTCTGACTCCATTAAATCTCACAAAACTTAGAAAGGGAACAAACTGATTACACCATCAGGTCTATTCCCCCCACCTCCCCTTACAAGATATAAATTCCTAATAGAGGCCATAATAAAATGTTTGTCCAGGCTAGCCTGGATCTTTTCTCTCCCCCCGCCCCCCCTTTTGCCTCCATTTGCCACTGAGGGGCATAGCCACTGTATGGACTGAAGTTTGCTACTGAGAGGAGCAGCTAAAACCTGGAGTGCAGTTTGCCAGTGAGGCAAGCGGTTGGACTGAGGACTGTTGGCCCCCTGGAAGGGGGGAAAGAACCTAGTGGGGCACAGCTGGAGGGGTGTGTCCAGAAGAGGATGACAGGGCTGAGGGAGCGACACAGTTCCTGGATGCAGAGACAGGAGTGAGGATGGGTGGGACACCACCTGAGGAGGGCGCATGGGCAACCGGAGCTAATTCCCAGGATGGCCAGCAGGGGGTGCCGCAGTGGTGAGTCGAACACCTGTCACCAGGTCCAAGAGCAGAATTTCCCATAATGCCTGGGAATTGACTAGAGTAAAGAAAACATTTTCCCCAACATCTCTTGCTATGTTTATTCCTTTGTAGGTTTTTTATAAGAGTAAATTTACTGAGAGTTGACAGTGCAGCAAGATCTAGTACAGACATCCAAGGTCCTGACAATTAAGGGCTTGATTACAGACATCCAAGGTCCTGCTCCTATTGAAGACAACAGCAAAACTTCCACTGCCGACAACAGCAGCAGGCACACGCCCTAAAATCGCAGCAGAGGTGCCCCTCCAAGCTCCATCCCACCGCAGATCTGTTGATGACACGGATCTTTGGCGGGAGGAGGCATCCCTTCGACCAAGCAAAAAGGAAGCTATACTAACTGGATGAGGGCAGCAGGCGAATGCCCACTCCCACGCCAATCTCTGTCTGTAAACAAGAAAGTGCCCCTCAGCGGCAATGGCAGTGAAAAGGTGCTCTCGGCCCGGCCCCTTGGCTGCCACCTGCCAGTGGGAAATTTTTCTCCTTGCAGCTGGGAAACTCCCAAGACGCCGATTAAGTCCACCCACGAGCTGCCGCTCACAGCGCATCCAAATGTAAACACGCCACAGCCTGGCTTTGCCGCTTGCGCGTCTGGCTTGGGCAGACCCGCGGGGTCTTGAAGGCGCACAGCTGCGCTACGCCACGCTATGTGCTAGCCAGTGGGAAGTCCCCTGCCATGCCGTGTTACCAGCTGCCCCCCGCGCAAGCCCGCTCCAAGGAGCGAAACTCCCGCTGCTTTCCACGGGCGCAAGTAATTGCGCGCCGCCCTTTGCATCCCCAAATCAGCCCGTCCCCACTGATTCCCCCCGCCCCGAGATACAGACACACACATTCCGCTTGTGGCACAGCCTCTGCTGCTGTCTGCCCCCCCCATCCCCACCGCTCCCATCCATCCTCTTTAAACTGCCCCCGGGAAAGAGCCAGCGGCCATGGACACCCGTCAGCTCCGTGCGCTCACCTCTGCCGGGGGACCCAGAGCGCAGCGAGGGAGATCCCAGCGGGGTGTCGGGGGAGCTAAATGAGCCTCTCCCGCGCCCGGAGCCTGTTCCTCTCCAGGCTCGGCGTTAGCGCTGGAGTCTGTCTGTGCGGAGCTGCCACGGGACAGGATTTTCCCCGCACTCCCCGCCCATTGCCTCTCGCGGGTGGAGGAGGTGGAGCTGCTGCACCATGGGACTTGTAGTTCGCAGCAGTAGGGCTTCCTGCTTCAGCTAGGGCGGCCACCAAAACAAACTCCCTGCACCGGGGGCTTCTCTTCGGCGAGCATAATGTAAGTGCCCAGCACAATGGTCAGCAATTCGGGTAATTAAAGGGACTCCAGCAACTTTAAAAACAGGCTACGGGCTGAACCTCTGATCCTTGTGAATAACGCCTGCTGATGACCAGATCAGAAAGGGATTACACAAATGTATTTCCCTATTATTGTATCACTGTGTTTTCTTTGCGCATTTAGCATTTGTGTGTGACTCTACCGTTTGCTTTGTCCGCTCGTACAGTCGGTCAGTTTCCTTTGCTGGTGTTGCGGCCTTTCACACAGCAACGGAGCTGAGAAACATTTTAATTAAAAACGAAAATGAGTGAAAAGCTCCCAGAAACTGTTAGGGAGGAGTCAGGGTAGGTATAGTGCCTGAGACTACATTACCACATTGGCAATGGCCATATTAATTAAAATTGATCCATCTTGTAGGAGGTGTCAACATACCTGACATTTATTAATTAAAGTCAAAGAAGGAAGTGTTGAGGATCAATTGAAGGGAACTAGAACAATATAATGGGAGTTTTGTTTAGAATGGACTACTGAGAGTTGTTTAAAGAAACATGTTCAGATACAAAAAGTTTTAAAGTTATATCTCTAGGCAGCAAGACAGGCTGAGTCAAATGGTCAGTTAATTGCTTTTGAACACCATTCTGCATGTAAGCTGCTGAAAGACACTTCACTAGTTCTCAAGTGTATTTTTCCCAGGTTATTAACCACCCTTCCCCACTAGGCTTTATTTAGAAACAAACAAAATATCTGCTTATAATGTGGTAGGCAGAATAAATGCCAGCAGGGCCGGCTCCAGGGTTTTGGCCGCCCCAAGCAGCCAAAACAAAACAAACAAACAAAAAAGCAGCGATCGCAATCGTGATCTGCGGCGGCAATTCGGCGGGAGGTCCTTCGCTCCGAGCGGGAGTGAGGGACCGTCCGCCGAATTGCCGCCGAATACCTGGATGTGCCGCCCCTCTCCGGAGCGGCCGCCCCAAGCACCTGCTTGAGAAACTGGTGCCTGGAGGCGGCCCTGAATGCCAATGTTAATAAGCTATCCATTTACGTTTTAAAATAGGAAATAAATTGAAAACTGGGCAGGTGACATCAAATGAACTACCCAACTAAATTACCAAAGACCTGTACATTTAGCAATGCAATGTGAGTCAGGACACTGCTTCATAGGACTGTTCACGGAGGAGGAGGAATCTTTGTTAATGAAACTTTATGGTTAAGATCATAAACCCATTGTGACACCGCACCCCATATTCTTCTATCTTCTATCTTCTATCATATCTTACTATGATATGATTATAGTATAATGATGCATTTTAGGCAAGATGGGTAATGTAAGATGTCATTGGGAAAGTTATGGTCTGCTTACAGCCCACTTCTTCGGATGCATCCGAAGAAGTGGGCTGTAGTCCACGAAAGCTTATGCTCTAATAAATTTGTTAGTCTCTAAGGTGCCACAAGCCCTCCTGTTCTTCTTTTTGCGGATACAGACTAACACGGCTGCTACTCTGAAACCTTTCATTATCCTATTTGTATGCTTGTATTATTTTTGCATCTGAAGTTATGAATATTGGCTATGTATCTGTATTTCAAATGTAGTTATACCTGGGTGATGCCCATTAGGCAAGATGCTTTCAGTCTAGATAGTGGGTGGGGAAGGGCCTGTTCAGGGTAATAAGCCATTAGGGGAAACAGTAGGCCTCAGGAGAAGCTTATCCATCAGCTGGTGAGCCTTCCTGTGAACACTCCAGACAGCCTGTAAGTAATGGCTGCTATGACTCAGCAAGGTATGCAAAGGCCTGTAACCAGGCCACATGATCCATCTTGGGATGTCAGTGTTTTTCCATAAGCTGAGTTTAGCATACGGAGGGAATCCTTTTCCCTCCGTATGCTAAAGCTATCTAAGGCAGAGAATGACATCATCTGTTGTTCTTCACTCCCCATACAAGAAGATTCCTGGAAACACCTAAGGAACAAAGACTGAACTGGGGGATTTCTAGCCTGTGTATGAACGACCTGGGGATTCCAAGCTGTTAAGCAAGTGTAGCTTGTCCCTCAAGAATCTGCAGTCTGCTTGTACCGTCTCTCAGGGTGAGAGATTGGATATGAATTAGCAGTTTATCTAGTATGATCAGCTTAGTTTGCGTTTTTGTTTACTTACTAAGTAATCTGATTTGATTTGTTTGCTACCACTTATAATCACTTAACATCTATATTTTGTAGTTAATAAATTTATTTTATGTTTTAACCTAAACCAGTAAGTTTGCAGTGAAGTGCTCGGGAATCCTAGCTCAGAGGGGCTGTTGCCTTGAGGGGGAGGCAAACTGGATAATAAATTCATACTGGTTGGGGTTTAAACCAGGGAAGGATGGTACAGCTCTGGGGACTTAGGCTGGGAAACTGGTTATTTTGGCCTCTCTACTGTTGGTTTGTGCAGTAGCTGGTCAGAGCCTGCAGGTAACTGCAGCTGGGTGTGTCCCTGCCTGTGTGAGTGCTGGTGGGAAGTATAAGACCGGGAGCAAGTCTGCAGCTTGTCACAGCAGCACTGTATGAGAGGGAGCCCAAGCTGGTGGGTCAGAGAGCTCAGTGGCACCCCAGTTCCAGGTGGCATGCTAGGGGGAACCCATCACACCTATAAAAGTCAGTAAAAACCAAAATTATATTTCCACAACAATCATTGCATTCCCTCTTTCATAGTGAAGTCTTTCATATTACTCATTGTGGTGATAGCTTTGATTTTATATTAAATACCTTATATTCAGCATGACTGAATAACAGTTATTGTAACAAATATCTGAATTCCTTGACATCTGTAGGTTCAGAATCTCAGTCTACTGTTGCATTAAACAGTGTTCTGACTTTAGGATCCTGTGGGGGTCGGAGTTAAAAGAAAGAGAGCATCTGTAAATACACACGTGCATATGTCTGAGTGTATGGCACATGAATGCAGAATTAGGCCCTCTGTACAGTTTTAAATCTTCCCACATTCATTTTGTAGTACCTAGTCTTCAATCAGTATCACACTTAGTAAAGCACACAAGCTACTTTGGACTACATCCGTTTCAAGTTTAAAACAAAACTAATGTTGAGATCTCCAATCACAAAGGAATTACTGAACAAGTCTTTAAAAATGTAGAAATCACATCTTAAAATCCTGGGATAATTCAAAAACAGACAAACAAAATTGTACTAAACTTTACAGTGGGTGGGGGAAACAACCACTTTGGGACTGGAAGTGAGTGTGCAGAAATTAATTTCAAATGGCAGTTTTTCTAAAGCATTTTCATTTACAGGTGCTTAGTGTCTCTTCATTCATAATACTAGCAAGCAGTTCTGCTGGAACCCTGGTAACCACCAGAGTTGGGCTTGGAACCTGAGATATGTATAGAGTCTTATCCAGTTTTCTTTATATGTATTTGTAGGATTGTCTCCAACTTCTCCCTCAAGGACTGGATTTGTCCATAATTCATGAGGTTGGGAGGATTTCTACATTCAATTTGTTGTTTTACCGTAACTGACAACCACTTTGGTTGTCTGCTTAGGGCACTGAATTTTTTAGTTGTGCCTCTTTCTTTAATAGCTTGTCTCGAAGACAGACAAAATTAGACTATGCAAGCAATGCTCCCAGCTGATAGTGTAAAACATAAAGTAGATGTATTTATACCAGTACATATTAGAACCATAGGAATTAATGTGATAAATAAAATTTGTAAATGTTACCCTAATATGATCCAACACGGAAAAGAGAAACTCTTTTCAGTTCTTAGCTTACAAATAGATATTTGTGTCCTTAATGTATAACTTTCAGCAATCACACCATGTTCAGACCTTCACATGAGGTTTCCTCCAATGTGCTTTCACTTCATTGAGGCTCCGGACAAGTTCCAGAATGTATTGCTGTCCTTTAGAATTCAATCTATGAGCCAAAGACTAAGCCCAGTCTTCTTGTGCTCAGGTCACCTTCAACTGAGCTCCTAACAGTGTATCCTAGTCACGGGCCCACATGCTCAGTATTGAATCCCTACAGTCAAAAGTATTCAGTACGGGACTGTTCTTTGGTGACACTCCAGTGTCACCTCTGCAATGTCTTGGCCACAGAGAAATGCTCCATCATAAAGTGATTACATCAAGGAAAACATATTTGTATTGTAATTCTTCTATACAGAAAGATCCCCACCCTTCAGGGTGTTTATATTGTAACAATTCTGCTTGTTAGGGAAACATTTAGGTTTGTTTGTTTGTTTGTGTTTTTTTGGTTTTACATTTACAGCTTAATTAAGTTATTTGCCAACAGAGAATAAAATAATTTTTCTTATGTTTTAAGAAACAAATTCTGAGTCTGAGCAAATTTCACTGACTGTTAGAGAAGAAAAAATCCTTTCTTGGCTGGCAATCCAAATTCAGTCGAAAAGAATATTTTATTTTGAGTCCTGATGCAAACTTACTGCATAATAAAAGTTCAGTTATAGCATCTTTCATCCAATGGTTTCCAAGCTCATTACAAAAATGAGTAGGTATTAATTACAGATACTTCTTTGTACCTCGGTTACTGTAAGTTACTTTCAAAAGATCACACAGTGAGTGAGTGGCAGAGTAGGGAATAAATTCCAGGTCTTTTAAATCCCAGCCTTAAGTACTAGACAGCCCTGTATCTCCCATACTATGTATGTGACAGTATGATATCTGTGTGCCAAATCTTGTAATCTATACTTTTGTAATATTCCCGTTGAAATCAATGGGTATTATGCCTGAGTAAACTTTGCAGGATTTGTCTCCATGTGAATAAATACACCTCTACCCCGATATAACGCGGCCTGATATAACATGAATTCGGATATAACGCGGTAAAGCAGCGCTCTGGGGGGGCGGGGCTGCGCACTCCGGTGGATCAAAGCAAGTTTGATATAACGCGGTTTCACCTATAACGCAGTAAGATTTTTTGGCTCCCAAGGACAGCGTTATATCGGGGTAGAGGTACTACAATATTATAAAACATATACTTAGATTAATATAAATAAACAAATTCCATACCATGGATGGTTAAACAATACAATATATTACTTCCTTTTGTATACAAAAGTGCTTAATTGCTTTAGGTACATTTGGCTAGATATGCTGCTTGTGCTCATTTAAAATGATTATTGTGATATAACTATTTGCTGTGTACAATTTTTTGTTCGTATTTTTTTTTAAAAGCTTTACTTCAGAGAGAATTTTAGATCTTAGTGCTATTGCTTTTAATGTGAGACTCCTGAAAAGGATATACTGGAAACAAAGTGAAGGGAAATCATCTCTCAGTTATACATATCCCAGAATGCCTTTTTAGTGCAACAGTCTTGTATGGGTGTGTTCTTCTTTCAAGAAGTATCTTGTTACAGACTGACCCTGAGGCTGCTGTGGTTGGAAAACCCACAGTTGTGCAACTTTTATGTGTGCTTTTATTGTCTGTGCTGTTTTTTCATGTCTCTTGCCTGCCTCTTATTTCCTGAAACCGAACTAATTTACAAGAACTCTGATGTTTGATAATAATAAGGAATGATCGTCTTCCTGAATCAGATTACGTGCTATCATTAAGATACTGGTATCTATAAAATCAGGTGAGTATCAGTCTGGTAACCTGTTTTATCTTCCCACCATTCATCTGTTTATTATTTGATAAGCACTTGGGTGTAGGAGGATTTTTCTAGGAAAGTGTAGTTAATGTGAGGTTAAAGAATCTTTATTGACCAGGTTGTGGCTTTTAAAGTGTGTGTGTGTGTGTGAGTGAGTGAGAGAGAGAGAGAGAGAGAGAGAGAAACCCATTCCTTAGACAATAGCAACTGGGTCTGATTCTCCTCTACTCCACATCAGTTTTACACTGGTGAAACTCCATTGCCTCCAGTGAAATTACTCCCGATTTACATTGATGTAAGTGAGAGGAGAGTTAGGCCCAGTACATTCATGCTTTTAAGATAGTGTCATTGGCATTTACTGCAATAATACAGTTGCTTGGATTATTAGAGTGCATTTTTTTCTCATATTAACTTTGCTGTTGGATCGCTGTAGCTTCAGACTTTCCTTAGGTGAAAAGTGGGACTGCAAATAAATGCTGAATGGCAAAATTTTGGAAAGCTAGACAGTGTAGCCTAGTGGATAGGGTACTGGACTGGAAGTCAGATGATCTGACTTCTGTGACCAGCATGGCCACTGACCAGCTGTGTGACCTTGTCCAAGTCACTTCACCTTCTGTGGTTCTGTTTTCCCACACTCCTTCTGTCTGCCTTGTCTATGTAGACTAAGGTGTAGGGACAGGGACTCTTTCTTAATACATGTTTGAATTGGGCCTCACACAGTGGGGCCCTGATCTTAGTTGGGGCCTTAAGGTGCTACTCATACAAAATATCCTAAAAGTAGGAACTCTGAAGGGTACCACACACTCAAGATTTGTTTTATGCTGGATATGGATGAAAACAGGCGCACATTAGATCAGAAAAGTAATTCTGAGTAATGGACCAAAGACAAAGTTTATTTGATTCAGACTGGACATTACAGAATGAAAGATATAAATTAATGATATCTTCTGTAAATTATCCTTGAACTGTCATATTAACATAGTGGGACCTGACATAGGTTTTCTGTGATCCTTGCCAGTAATCTTCTGGGTCCATAGAGAACACATTACTGAACCAGTGCTTAATTTTTACATTCAAAACTGATGCAGAAAGCCCAGAGGTGGAAGGGCTATGAACTGCCAAGCATAAAGGTGCCGGGACTCAGCCTGACACAAATTAAGCAGTGACCAGAATTATTCTGTCAAGGAATTTAGCAGCTTAGGATGCTCTAGGACCTCACTCCTGCACCCATTGAAGTCAAGGGCAAAGTTTGAAGTTGTTTGCAAGTCATTGAGGTCAAGGGCAGAAAAAGGCCCTCATTAGAGAGAAGTTCTGGGATGTGCCTGATCATTTGCTTTGAGGACAGTATTGCTAATATCACTGCACAAAGTAACCTGTAAGGTGATGCATGAGGGGGTCACGCAGAGTCACGTTCCCTGCAGATTTCTGCCAGGGTTTATATAATCTTTTTTGCAGGAAATGGGTTAAAAATTGTGCCCCCATCCGCTATCTTGTGCCCCCACTCACAATTGTCACCTCTACCGTACTGTTAACTTTTATTCTTAGAACTAATAAATCTGCATTTAATTATATGAAATCTGAATAAATATCTGCACACGTAGGTATTCGTATTGGGCACAGGTTATATATACAGAATGTTCATTCATTATTTGGGCATAGCCCATTGCTCAAAAGCGGGTATTAGGTGACTGTTCAGCCTTGTTTATTCAGATCAACAAAACATGCTTTGCCACAGAGCCTCCAACTACATTGGGGAAAAAAACCACAGGCTATGTCTACACTACCACTTATGTCGGTATAACTGTCGCTCGCGGCCACCCCCAAGTGACATAAATTACACTGACCTAAGTGCCAGTGGGGACAGTGCTAGGTCAGCAGGAGAAGCTCTTTACCACTGCTTGTTGGGGGTGGATTAATTAAGTCAACGGGAGAGCTCTCTCCCATTGGCTTAGAGCATCTACAGTACAGAACTTACAGTGGCACAGCTCCTTCGGTGCAGCTGCACCCCTATAAGCTCCCTAGTGTAGTCATAGTCACAATTTTGGTACCACGGGTGTTATACAGTCACTGTGAACTTGTTTAGGTCTGAAAATGTGTTTTCCTTAATGGAAGATAAATCCAGTGTAGAGATATATAATTATAATCAAGGTACATGCAGGGTTTAGGAGTTTAGGGAGGACTAGAAGACCTATCACCTTCTTGCAGCAGCAAGAGGGTCTAGCATGGAAGAGGATAATCAGGAGAGAAAGCTGCTTCTCGCTTTCACCACTCAAATCAGGCAGGAAGGGAGACTCACATTTATCAGATTCCTAGAGGCTTGCCTAAATGGTGCAGCAGTGTGCACACCAATGTATTGCACACCAATGTATTGCACACTAACGGCCCGCGTCAAATCTGCTGCATGCACTAGGGGACTTTTAATGCGTGCCAACAGGATCTGCATGGGCCAGGGTGTGCACAACACATCAGTGTGTATTAAAATTCACATCTTTCTAGTGCGTATTGCTTGTGTACATGGTGCAGCCCTCTTTCCTGTAGGCTACTAAAGATGGAGCCTCTGAACATGGCATCCCTACATCTTCCCTGTTGTGTCCATTCTCTTGAGGCTAAGCGAGATAAGCCTCCTTAACTTTTCCTCATGATCTTATTTTCAAATCCCTTATTCAGTCTGGTTGCCTTTCTTTGAACCCTTTCTGTGTCCATGATATCGTTTTAATGTGAGGGCACTAGTACTGATGATATGCTTTTGCTAAACAGAAAAATTACTAGGGTAAGTAATGTCTTGTCTTCTGATTATTTCAAAAGAGGAACTTCCCTTCTCGAACATCAGGATTTTGCAACACTAGCTTACAATAATTATAATTGCAACAAGGCACGTCTAGTGGCTTCTCCGGATAGAAAATAAGAGTTGGACTCACAATGGGGACTTGGGTGCCCAACTGGCAGTAGTCTCAAAACCCCCAAGCAGCTGCTGTGTAACTCTGTAGGTGCCTAACCTCCCAAGATGTTCACGTTTTCAGAGGTAAAGTCCCCTGATTGCCTAAATTTCTGCTGGCAAGTAGGTAAGCATGCATCCACCTCAGACCTGACATCACTGAGCCATTGAGCACTAAATCTCCAGTTCTCTTTCAGATTTCACTTAGTTCAGCTCGTGGGTGCAAAGTTTATACACTTTCAAAATGGCCATTATACTCCTGCAAAAGAATACTGGCTGCACCAGCAACCATGTTTGTATGGTGAACTGAGAGCAACTGGTGAAGCACAACCCCTGAAGTGTAATTAGTGTGCCTAAGAAAACAAGGGTTTGGATTTAGCTGCTTCAACTGCTTGAGTAAGGACTGAGTTTTCTTCCCAATACCATGTGCACTCATAATTGATAATATCTCTTTGAGAGATTTAATAAGATGGGTTGGCTTTGAGATGTAGGAAACTATTGTCTTAGCTGAGCATTAATAACAGGACTTATTCCTCAGTCACACTGATAAACAGACTCCGACTCAGCAGAAGTTAGAAAGGGGCAGGTTAAGATTGGTGTTACACCCAGAAGTGAAACTGTCCTGACTTTTCAATATTTATATTCTCAACCTTAATTTTGCATGAAGAAGGATTTTTGGCTAAGGGAGTGGGGCTGGGACTGTCCCATGGGTCCTTCATTGTAATTAGATTTGGGGGAGTTTCCCATGGGAAATTCCAGCTTTTGTGGGAAATATTTACTGCCATATATGGCATGGAGGAGATTTCTAAACAAATATATCATTTTTAAAAAAAAAGCTATCTGCAGTTGAGGCAGTTTAAATATTCCCATGAAATAACTAAGCTGCTGTCTTAAAAGCAAATAATGAGAGACAGTGTAATTACTCTTTTCCTATTACATCACGATTGGCTGTGTCAGGGTTCCCTCCCCACTCTGAACTCTAGGGTACAGATGTGGGTACCTGAATGAAAGACCCCCTAAGCTTATTTCTACCAGCTTAGGTTAAAAACTCGCCAAGGCACAAATTCTCCCTTGTACCTTGGATTAGGAAACGCTGCCACCACCCAGAAATTAGACAAAACTCAGGGAAAGGACCACTTGGAGTTCCTACTCCCCCCAATATCCCCCCAAGCCCTACACCCCCTTTCCTTGAGAAAGGCTTGAGAATAAACAAGATGAGCACAGACCAACCTTGGGTTTTTTTTAGGACACTAAAAAAAACAATCAGATTCTTAAAAAAAAACAGAATTTTATTAGAAAGAAAAAAGGTAAAAGAAGCACCTCTGTAAAATTAGAATGGAAGATAATCTCACAGGGCAATCAGATTCAAAACACAGAGGATTTCCCTCTGGGCAAAACTTTAAAGTTACAAAAAGAAAAGCAGGAATACACCTCCCTCTCGGCACAGAGAAAATCACAAGCTAACATAAAAGTAAGCTAACGCATTCCCTTGCTAGTACTTACTAATTCTAATGGAGTTTGATTGATTGCTTTCTTGATCTGTCTTCAGCAAGCAAACAGAACAGACAGACAAAACAAAGCCTTTCTCCACCCTCACCCCCAGATTTGAAAGTATCTTGTCCCGTTATTGGTCCTTTTGGTCAGGTGCCAGCTAGGTTACCTGAGCTTCTTAACCCTTTACAGGTAA